AAACATAAAATTCGAATCGAAACCCTTGGCATTCTTGATTCAAATCATTAATTGTATCGTAAACTGTAAGATTTTGACAACATTGCTTGGAACCATGAGAACATGCTGGATTTTAGTGAATATGAAACATAGCCATCCAAATTCTTAAGATACTAAGGGTTTGGAAGGAGGTCGCACAGTCCTCTAGAGGAAAATAGAGTGGAAACCCCCACAAGGCTATAAAGTGAAGCTGAGCTTTGATGGAAGCTCCTCGGGTAAATTGGGTATGGAAGGAATATGTGGGGCAATTAGAAACTTGGAGGGCAGGTTATTGGCACTTTATTCAAGGCCAATTGGTGTGGCTAATTCCATAAAGGCTGAATTGATGGCTTTACTACATGGTCTTAGATTAGCTAAGCAATTGGGATTAGTTAGAGGTGGAAGGGGACTCAAAAGTAATTATTTCATGGGTGAGATGTAATAGAAATATTCCTTGGGCCCTCTAGAATGCTTATAGAGAAGTTTAAAGGATTGCAAGAGAATTGGTTGCTGAATTCAAGTGGGTCAGAATAAGGGCAAATGGGTTAGCACTCACTTGTTAAACAAGGGGTAGCAAGGCAGCAATTGTTTTGGGATCTTTGTAACATAATTCCGTCATTGGGGATGACTCCATGGTTATCAAATTGCATTGCTTTTTACATATAATTAATCAATATAATCAAGTATCTATTGATCAACAAAAAAAATTTCTTGAGATACTTACATTGAACAAATCAATACAAGAATGTCTCACAATGAGAAGGATGAACAATTTTTTGGCTGTGTTCTGTGTAAAGCGGATGGGGAGACTGGTTTTCACCTACTGGTGTCTTGCCACTTTGCGAGGTCAATTTGGGACTGGGCTTCCTCCTTATTTGGATGCAGCTGGAATCCCCCATCAGATTTGTAGGGCCTTTTCTCCCCTACCTTTTTCAGGTGGCGGATAAAAAGGGGAAGGATAATGTGGAGAGGACTAAGGGCTGTAGTATGTTGGACACTGTGGGAAGAAAGAAACTCCAGGATATTCTCATACATATTAGGGTGGTACAGTGGCTGAAATGTTTGGAACTATTCACAGATTACACTTTGGATGACATGTTGAGGAAGTGGGGTGAAATTGCAAATTGCACACAGACCAAGTCAGTAATGAATGTGGCTTAGACTCCCCCACCCAGTGGATTCTTGAAATTAAACTTTGATGGATGTAGTAGGGGAAATCCGGGACAATCGGGGATTGGAGGTGTTTTTAGGGACGAAAATGGGGTCATCTCTGCCATGTTCTCAAGCCCAATTGGAGTGAGTGACTCCCTTAGAGCTGAGATCTTTGCAGGAATGAGAAAGAGCCCGAAAAGTTAAAGAATTGAACATCAAGAAACTCATAATTGAAGGGGATTCAGAGGTGGTGATAGGGTGGTTGACTAAAGATCAAAATGGTTTATGGAAGTACAACAATGAGAGGAGGAAATTCATGTGGCTGGTGCGGGAGGTGGAAGTTAAGACATGTTGGGTCAAAAGATCGGCTAATTCCTTAGCTGACGGTTTAGCTAAACAAGGGGCAGAAAGGGATTCACTGTTTTGGGCTAAGCTGTAACTTTAGTGTCTTCTTTTCTCTTTTTCTTCTTTTTTCCTTTCATGAGGCTCTTTGTGGCTCTTGGAAGATAAGTGTGTTTGTCTTCCTCCTGTAAATTTTCTACTGATGATTTAATGAAAGTGTTATTGATCCAAAAAAAAAAAATGAACAATTTTTTGGCTTACAAACTCAACATACAATCAAAGTCTAACTATCTATCCCAATCAAGGTTTTAAAAGGATAAAGGCGAGGTCACCGAGGTGAGGTGGTTAGGTGTCAAGGAGGCAAGGCGTATGTGTTTTGGGTCTTTTTTCTTTTTCTTGGCAATGCTTGTTTGGATCCCCTTCAACTAGATTGGAGGATTTGGATCCCCCATCCAAAAGGCTCTTTTTCTTGTGCTTCTTTTTTTTTGGAAAATTCCACTTTAGTACCCTGAACTTTGGGGGTAGTGTCAAGTTAGTATCCGAACTTCCAAACGTGTCACTGCAGTACCTAAACTTCAAAAAGTGTCTGCCGTTAACCGACCGTCAGTTATCTGTTGAAAATGTCAAAACTACCCTTCAAAAGAAGACACTGTTCATTGTCTTCTACTTTGAGACTGAACCGGTTGAGGTGTTTGAGATTCTAGACTAATGAAGTCATTGTCTTCTACCTTTAGATCTAAAACACATTCTTGTCTGGTTATTTCTTTGCTTTAAGTTATTGTTCCCTCTATCATATTTCATGTTCTTTCTCTCTTTTTCTTTGAAGACAACTGATTCAGTCTCAAGGTAGAAGACAATGAACAGTGTCTTCTTTTGAAGGGTAGTTTTGACATTTTCAACAGATAACTGACGGTTGGTTAACGACAGGGACCAACTTGACACTTTTTGAAAGTTTAGGTACTGCATTGACATGTTTGAAAGTTTGGGTATTAACTTGACACTACCCCCAAAGTTCAGGGTACTAAAGTGGAATTTTCCCCTTTTTTATATAAGTCCCTTTGTTCTTCTTCTGGTTAGAGGATTTTTCTGGTTAAGTAGGTTTGGGCTAGGCCTATTCCCCTTAAAATTGTGGTGTTTCGTTGGGAGGTGTTTCATGGAAAAATCAGTACTTTGGACTGTTTGTAGACAAAAAAGGCCATTTATGTGTTTGTTTCCTAAATGGTGTATTCTTTGTAAAGCTAATGGTGAGGATTGCTTCCACTTGCTAATATCTTGTTCTTTTCTTACAACTATTTGGAATTGGAGTTTTGCTTTGTTTGGATGTAGGTGGAGCTTACCTATAGATGTTAGTCTACTGTTCGATCTGTCTTTCTTTGTATGGCCCACCAAAAGCGGGAGAAGCATGTGGGAATGTATTAGAACAGCTGCCCTTTGGACAATTTGGGAAGAAAGGAATGTAAGAATATTTCAAGAAAAAGAATGAAGTTTCTTAAATGTCAAGGATTGCATTTTGACAAGGACAATACATTGCTTGAGAACTTTGGATTCCTTCCGATTTTTTATCCTTCAATGACCTTTGAAGGAATTGGTCAACTGTGGCAATTAGCTCTTCCAGGAAGAATAGGGTCACTGTAGAGTGGGTTCCTCCTCTTGAAGGAAATGTAAAGTTGAGTTTTAATGGAAGTAGTCAGGGTAACCCGAGCCCCTTCGGAATAGGAGGGGTATTGAGAGGTAAGGACTACAACATCTTAGCCTTATTCTCTGGCCCAGTGGGATTAGGAGACTCTAATAGGGCTGAATTATTAGCAGATATACAAGGTATTCAAATTGCAAATCAATTTGGTGTGGAGATTTAATAATTAAAGGAGACTCTAGAGTTGTTGTGGGGTGGCTGGCAGATCCGGACTTGGTGGTTTGGTGCTACAATGATCTCTTAAAGAAAGCTAAGTGGTTAACAAGAAACATGAATATTAGCTTACATTGGGTGGGCAGGTCGGCAAATGCTTTGGCTGATTGTCTTGCTAAACAAGGGGCTAGCAGGGAAAAATCTGTACTGGTCTGCTTTGTAATGTGCTCCTTTTAATGTCTTAATGTAATCTTCACTTATTAAGGAGAGGTCGCACCTCGTGCCTCTCCTTGGGAGGCTTGTAACAATCTTCATCTTTTGCTAATAAAATCATACTTCAATTATAAAAAAAAAGTAAAATTCGAATATGAATGGTTCATATGTAAAACTTAATGTTTTTGCTTATTGTTGTTTGCAGTGATTTATGCATCTATTTTTATTTTTATTTTTCAACAATTATCTCATTATTTATATAGCATAAAATATCTCATCAGAAAATGCAAATGAAACCAAAAGTAAAGCATCGAAGTCCCCAAATATTTTTTCAGGTTTGCTGAGTCTGATACCTCTACCTCTCACCTGTGTCAGATTCTGACACTTGTATGAGTGTTGATGTAATGCCATTGTTAATTAATTTATTTTTACTTAATTACATATGATTGTTCAATACTGAGCCTGTTTTCTTCACTCTCTATCCCTGTACACATTGCTTGGTATAGTGGTAAACTCTCAGGCCAACTGCATGACAAGTCAGCAACCTATGATACCTGGATAAATACCTGTACATGCCTAGCGTACCAAGATGCTGCATGGATATTTTCTAGGCATACTCTATAGTGCTAATGTTTATAAACTATGTAAAGTAGTATGTTTTAACAAATTATACTATTAAAAATATTTACATATCTTATAAACTTAATTAAATTTGGCAAGATATAAATATTGAGAAATGACATTTAGCTTCAAAAAACTAGATATAAATGCATGATATAAGCATATTATATGGGATACCTGTACTTGTATCCCTGTCCAGGAGTTAAGGAAATGTAGAGTTGTATCCTCATTTCCTGTATCTGTGTCCATATCTGTATCTGTATCTGTATCTGGGCATCATGGGTGAGAAAGGAGGTTTTCGTCTGAGAGCAGCCACTTTGTCAGAAAAAAAAATTCAAGGTTAGTTCTGTGCAGGTAACAAATTGTTGGCGAAAGGGGGAGTGAATATTATAGGAAATGTATTTGGAGTCTAGAACACAACTTTTAACATGTTTTTTTTTGTTCATTAACCTTGGAAACCCTACCATCACTGGCTAAGACAAAGGAAGATACTACAGATTTGATCCTATAGTTCTTCATATTTACGGTTGTCATGAGATGGAGTTATTAAATTTCTAACGTTTACTTGTTTGTGGTGTTGAAAATTTGAAATTATGGATAACTTAATAGAATTTCCAAGCCTAGTTGGTATGTTGTATGGAAATTTACTCTTTTTTTTTGGTAAGCTGTGGAAATTTACTTTTCTGCCTTTAACAACTTCTAACATGAAACTTTCCTGAAACAAGTGTAAGTTGTGTCTAAGAAAGCTGTATGGCAGGCTGACTGCCTTGTTATACTGATGCTTTTCTTTTCCCATTTTCCACCACAGGGAAACAGGAGGGAAACACGACTACTGGGAATTTTGTCATTTGTGCACAGTACAGTATGGAAGGTGTTGTTTGGAAAGGTGAGTGGATAAATTTTATTCTTTCTATTACATGCTGTATTTCAAAGTAAATACATATTCTTGCATATTTCTGTCTTCAAGAGCAATTATAAGTTGTGGCTGAATGGAATAAATGCACATTATTGTGTTTGTGTGTTTCTTGCTATAAGTTCTACTACTACGAGCTAAGTCATAAGGTGTATAAAATATGAGAAAATTCTATGTGCATCACTTCCATAAATTGTGCTAAATTGTTATCTTTTTGCAGAAAGAAAATTGGAAGCAACCACCTTCTCCATGTTGTGCTCCCAATGAGTTTTACTTGTCCATAGGTGACCCTTGGTTTTTTCTGCTTTCTGCATATAAAAGAGATATGCTTAAGGTATTGAAGGAAGCGAGTGTTGATGGTAGATTAGCACTGCTTAAGTTGTTAGGTGGTTTCAACCTTAGTTTCCAAACCCATTCTAATGGGTAACACCCACTTTCATGGTGTGGATTGATGATAATGACATGAAATCACCCTAAATCTGTTCGTGAAAAGCTATGCATGGAAGTCTCATGGTTATTGGGCAGTAATGTAAATGCTCCATGGTGAATGCAAGCAAATAATAAAAAGAAGTAAGAATGCTTTAATTGAAGGTATAACCTCTAGAATGGCTCATTGGCTTAAGTCTCTGGAGATCTTCTCGGATTTCTCAGTTGATGTTTTCATCAGGAAGCGGAAGGAAGTGGCTTGCACATCATCACTCATCAGGGAAAACTGTAATTAACAAATTCTGGTTGCCACCTGATGAAGGCTCATAAACTTATTTTTGATGGCAGTATTATAGGGAATTCAGGGCCATCAAGTGTGGGAGGCATTTTTAAGAATGAATCAGGCCACATTGTTGCATTTTTCTCAGGCCCAATTGGCAGTAATGGAGGGAATACACAGAGCAAGGGATATGAATGTGAATAAATTGGTCATTGAAGAAGACCCGCAACTGGTGATAAGGTGGCTGCAGAATAATGAGAATGCTATTGGGTCTACAAAAATGAATTAAAAAAGTTTAATCGGCTAACTAGAGACATGGACGTAAGGTTCAATGGGCACAAAGGATGGCTAACAGCATGGCTGATTGATCAAATGTTTTGGGCACTGTTGTAAAAAGTAAGAGTGGGTTGGAGATAAGACACCTTATCTCCAATAGAGAAATTGAACATTTGTAATTCTCCTTAATTTAAGTCATTTAATGAAATTTGAAGTTATTGATCATCATCATAATAATAAGCAAATAATTTTAGAAAAGAGAGCAAAAATGTAGAATATATGAAAAAAAGCCTAAATGAAGCTAGTATGCTTACGATGATTAGTACAACTATAGAACTATCCCTCCCAACCCTTGACTTAGCCAACTACATTCATCTTTGTCTGGTCTCTATGTATCTTTGTCCTATATGACTTTATGCTGAAAATTCATTTGTTCGGAGTAAGAATTTTATCACTCTTCTTCTTGGTATAATATTAGGTTGCTGACTCACTTGAAAAGGGTACTGAACATGAAGATGAATACATGATCAGTGAGAAAGAGCTTCTTGTGAATCGGTAATGATTTTATCCTTCAATTATCTGGTATTTGTCTGTTAAATTGCCTGATACAAATTATATATTTGGAGGTTAAATTTTCACAATGATTTGCACCTTCTGTTGTAGGTTTATTTCAATACCCAAAGACATGGGGACATTTAATTGTGGGGCATTTGTTGCTGGAATTGTGAGGGTGAGTATATGATTCCATTAATTAATATCATGTTGGATTTGTTTCACCTTAAACTGATCATCCATTGGTTGAGGTCTCTAAAAAATTATTGGTTTTGTGAAGGGTGTCTTGGATGGTGCAGGTTTTCCAGCTGTAGTCACAGCTCATTTTGTACCTATGGAGGGCCAACAACGACCTAGAACCACCATTTTGATCAAATTTGCTGAAGAGGTGAAATCTACATGTTTTTTCACTTTATTTTTTTTTTTGCGTTTACTTCAATTAGAAGTTTCTTTTCTGCTTGAGTAGATCTTCATGGTAAATTGAATATTGCCTTCCTAAACAAACCTTAGTTCATTTGATGTTTTCTAAACAAAGTCTAGCCAATTTATTGTAATTTTCTCAAATGTAAACTATTTAATAAAATAGTGAAAGAAAAGAAGATGCCTGCTGATTGGAGAAACAATAGTATGGTGCCTATCTTTAAGAACAAAGGTGATAAAAAAACTGTAATAATTATAGGGGAATTAAACTCATGAGCCTCACTGTGAAACTTTGGGAGTGAATAATTGAACAAAGATTATGACTTGAAACAAGTGTATTAGAGAACCAATTTGGCTTTATGCTAGGGAGATCAACCATGGAAACTATATTTCTTTTAAGACAATTGATAGAAAAGTTCCGAGAGAAGAAGAAAGACCTTCATTTAGTGTTCATTAATTTGGAAAAGGCATGTGATAGAGTTCCTAGAGAGATAATATGGTGGGTTTTGGAAAAGAAAGGGTGTCCAAAGTAGGTATATAGACTTAATCAAGGATATGTATGAGGGGGCAACACCAATGTTAGAACACTGTTTGGAGAGACTTCAATTTTACAATTACGATGGGTTTTCACCAAGATTCTTAGCCCTTATCTATTTGCATTGATCATAGATGAATTGACTAAACATATATAGGAGAAAGTTCTATGGTGCATGCTGTTTGCAGATGACATTGTTTTAATTGATGATGTTAGAATTGTTAGAATTAGTTAACAAGGGCATTATTATCTTTTTCATGTTTTCTCTCTTATGTCTGTTGTAACTTACCTAAGGGTATTGTAGTCATTTCAGCTTTAGTAGAATGCTAATACAATCTGGGTTGACAGTAAGGAGTGCAGATCAGATTTCTCCTTGCTAGTCTTTCCCTCCTCCTTCCCTTCCTATCTTCTTCTCTTTCCTTCTCCTATCCTTTTCTTTTCTTTATTAAAGTTGGAACTTGGTATTAGAGCCTTGAGGTCAACTGTACTATTCACGCTTCAACTCTTTGTGCTCTAGGAATAGAGAAGATTCTCCATCCTTTGTTGGAGAGGAAAAAGACTTAAGAGGACTGATCGCCCATTTGGAAAAGAGGCTTCAATGCCTCAGGTTGCAGTGTTGTGTGAGTTGGTGGTGTTTTTCTAAAAGCCCTCTATTCAGCAGTTCGAAGAGGGCAGCCTTGTGATGTCTTGAGTTGTGAGGTTGGTGCTCCTCAATGTGTGGTGTGATTTTGTAGTGGTTTGTGGTGTGGTGACACCTTGTGGTGTGTAATGTTTCCCAAGTGTTTTTAAAGTAGATAATTGATGATTTTTGGATTTTCCTAAAGAAAAAGTGTGTTACAGTAGTTGCATACCAGCTGTTTGACAGTTTGCCTAGGTGACAATTCAGTGATCTCTTCTCACTCATGGCTTCATCAAATAGTAGCACTAAACCTACAGTAGTTGTGCAATCAGATTTCATGACTTCTTAATTAACTACAGTGAAACTCAATTGTACTAATTATATTCCATGGGCCAAGTCAGTTAAGGTATCTCTCACTGCAAGAGGCAAGTTGAAGTATATCAAGGAGGGTACATTGAAAAATGAATCAGAAGGGTACAATGAATGGGTACAAGAGAATGCCCAAATTATGACATTACTTTGGAATAGTATGGACTATGGAGAATCACATTAGTGTGAACGTTATGTTTCTAGACACGACCAAGCAGATTTAGGACCATGCCAAGCAATTGTATTTTGGACAAGACAATGTCACAGGAATCTACCAGTTATACCAAGACTATTTTTCTCTTCAATAAGGGGATAAAAGTGTTGAAGAATACTATGCTTCTCTAAAAAGCTTAAGGAATGAGCTCAATGTTTATCAACCCCTATCCACTTATTTGAAAACTCAATAAGAACAAAGAGAACATCTAGATGTGGCAAGATTTTTATCTGGGTTGAGGTCTGAATTTGAACCAGTGCGGGCCCAAATCTTAGGGAGTAGTGATCTTCCATCATTGTCTGAGGTTTTCTCCCACATAAGGAGAGCCTCAAATCCACATAGTGATCATCCCCCACCTTCAAAGAAATCAGCCATTGTGGTTTCAGAGGAGTGGATGAGAAGGTCACACAATCAACTTTTATTATGATCTTTATGGTCCTCCATCTTCCTGGGCTAACCATGCAATGGTAGAATTCGTGTGACTAAAGATGCTCCTGGTTCCAATGTTGGTAAGGATAAAGACACAGTCTCAATCTCACGTGAGTATGAAAAGCTTCGCCAGTCTGCCTCTTCTAGTTCTGCCACTACTACACTTGTGAAGTCAAGTAGTGCTTGCCTTGTTTCTAGTTCTTCACCTTCACCCTAGGTAATTGATTATGGAGCCTCAGACCACATGACTGGTTCCTCATATATGTTTGTATCCTTGTCACCACCTTCTACCTCTCAAACCGTTACCTTAGCTAATGGCTCTTCTGCTATTATTGGTACCGGTAATGTGTCTCTTGGTTCTGACCTTAGTTGGAAGGCTCTTCATTCCTCTCTTACACCACATCAATGGCATTATCGTCTTGGTTATCCTTCTCTACGTGTTTTGAAAAAGCAAGTCCCAACTTTGGAGTCTCTAACTCAATTAGATTGTAAGTCATGTTAGTTAAGTAAACATCATAGGGTGTCTTTTGTTCCTAGGGATGATAAGAGAGTCTTGAGTCCTTTTGCTTTAGTCCACTCAGATGTTTGGGATCCTAGTCGTGTGTCACCTTATAGTGGATTTGGATATTTTGTAACATTTATTGATGACTATTCAAGAATGACATGGATTTACTTAATGAAGGATCATTTAGAATTGTTCTTTATTTTTCTATCTTTTCATTCTAAGATAAGGAATCAGTTTGGTATAATGCATTAAAGTGTTTCGTTCTGATAATGCCAGGGAATAATTTCATAATAATTATCAGTCTTATTTTGACTCTCATGGTATTATACATTAGTCCTCATGTTCACACACTCCTTAGCAAAATGGTGTCGCTGAGAGGAAAAATCGTCTTGTAATTGAAACTGCTCGGGCCTTGTTGATTCAAATGTCAATCCCTAAAATCTATTGGAGTGATGCAGTTCTCACCTCTCGTTTTCTCATAAACCGTATGCCCTCTTCAGTCCTAGATGGTGAGTCACTTTTCTCCATCTTGTTTCCTTCCACTTCGCCTTTCTCTCTTCCTCCTCCTGTGTTTGGTTGTGTATTTTGTTCACAAATTAGGTCCAAGCCATGATAAACTTGACTCTAGAGTTATTAGATGTGTTTTTCTTGGTTATTCTCATACTCAAAAAGGTTACAAGTGTTATGATCCTGTTTTACGGAAATCTTTTGTTGCTCCAGATGTTACCTTCTTTAAGAGTTTACCCTATTTCTCTGGACGTGAACATTCTCCTTCTATTCCTCTTCCCTCTGACTTTGGTGATGTCTTTATTCCCTTGCCTACTGTAGAGGAGCCTATTCGACCATCTATTCACAGAGTGTACTCTAGACACGATAAACCAAAATTGTCGCCAGTAGTTGATTCAGCTCCAACTTCTGACATGCCACTAGAGTCTTTGTTGTTGACAGATCCACCATCCTCAGATCTTGATCTTCCTATTGCTCTTCGTAAGGTTAAGCATACTTGCACATATCGTCCCCTTTCTCGGTATGTCTCCTTCACATCAACGTTTCATTTCCCTTCTATCTTCTGTTTCTCTACCGTGTTCTCTACAGGAAGCTCTCTCATCTCCTAATTGGATGAAGGCGATGAATGAAGAATTTTGTATAGTTTCCAATCAAAAAGATAATAATAATGAAGAATTTCATGCTTTTCATCCCCTTTCTTGGTATGTTGTCTTTGGTTGTCGATGGGTTTATATAGTTAAACACTGTCAAGATGGCAGTATTGAGCGATTCAAAGCTTGACTTGTTGCTAAGGGGTATACTCAGACCTATGTTGTGGACTATTAAGAAACTCTCTCCTGTGGATAAAATAGGTATTGTTCGAGTTCTCATTTCTTTAGATACCCACTTTGATTGGCTCATGTTTCAACTTGATGTTAAAAATGCTTTTCTCTATGGTGATTTTCAAGATTAGGTATATATGGAGCAACCCCTGAGTATGTTGCTCAAGGGGAGTTAGGAAAGGTGTGTCGATTGAAGAAGGCTATCTATGGGCTGAAGCAATCACCGCAGGCATGGTTCGGTCGTTTTAGTAGTGTGGTGCAAGATTTTGGCTTGAAACAATGCAATGTTGATCACTTTGTGTTTAATAGGGACTCGCCATTTGGGAAAATCATTCTAGCAGTGTATGTTGATGATATTGTTCTCACTGGAAATGATACACATGGAATTGATGAGTTGAAACAGTTCCTACAACAACACTTTCAAACTAAAGATCTAGGAACCATGAAGTACTTTCTTGAAATTGAGGTAGCTCAATCAAAGTGGAGAATCTCTTTGTCCCAACGAAAGTATGCTTTGGATATGTTGGATGAAACTGGGTTGTTGGGATCCAAGCTATTTGAAATTCCCATGGATCCCAATATGAAGATGACTGATAATCAGAGGGAGCCATTAGAAGACCCTACAAAGTATCGAAGACTAGTAGGCAAGTTGATCTATCTTACCATCACTAGGCCTGATATCTCCTTTAATGTTGGAGTCCTTAGTCAATTCATGCAGAATCCAACAACTACTCATTGGGATGGTGTTATGAGGGTGCTGAAGTATCTAAAGGGTGCTCCTGGTTGAGGGCTTTTGTATAAAAAAGGGGGAGATATGTCTCTGGTAGGGAACTTTGATGCAATTTGGGCAGGGTCTCTGATGGACAGGAAGTCTACTCTAGGTTATTGTACCTTCTTGTGCAGAAATCTCGTTACCTGGAAGAGCAAGAAGTAGAGTGTGGTTGCTAGTAGTGTTGAAGCTGAATGCAG